TGATTCTAGATAGGCCAGTGCAGTTGCTGCATCACCCTCGCTGATTCTCTCAGCGCGGTCTTTGGTACTGAAATTTAACCCATCTTTAACTGTATACCCAAGTTTGTCATGCCCTCCAGCACAATGCACAGCAAGCTTAATGGCCTGAGAAGGTTTCATTCCGGCATCCTTTTTAAATCGGAGGTCTGCCTTGTCTGCTTCTGTTAATCCTCGATGCGACCTCAAGTAATGTACCTGATTCTGCCTAACTGGGTCATGAGTGTGCTGTGAGTTAAATATATCAGCAACCCACTTATTGTTTGTCTTGTTCAAGCTCACACAAAACATAGCCATGTACTGAAATCTGATTTCCATAGGCGACTCCCTCTTTTGTGGACCTTTATGTGCTTCTCGAACTCCCTGACAGGAACACACGAAGGCTGCCCTTGTTACCTCTCCCTTGACGTTCTTAACCTTCCTTGAGCGACGGACAGAATACCCCCCAACTCTTAGCATAGTTGTTGTAGAACGCATATGCATCCTCAAAATCATTGAATTCCTGACCGATAAAAGGAGAATTTTGAATAACGTTTGTGTCATCCTACTGTACAGTAGGACCATTGTTGTCAGAGGTCATTTTCTGGTATGATTTCAACATCGATGTCTTCATTGTTGTTGATATTATCTCCCTCTTCCTCCATTGGTGTGCCGTCTTTTTGCTGTTTGTGGGGAGGGGCTGAATCGTGCGCAAAGCAGAGGTCTTTTTGTTGTTGTTGTTAACCTAATCCGTTTTTCACGTGTTATTAGTTTTTTCTATTTTTTCCCGTCATGGTGTAAAGCTTTTTTATATTTTAGTACTTAAAATTTTTATTATATTGTTTCCAGTTATGGTTACTAGTTGGATAAAGAATGCAACTAATAAAGAATGCTTGAATTACCGAAAAAAATACTAAAGAATGCTTGCGTGTTATATATGGTAGATTCAACTTCCAAATAGGTTACACTTTCATTGGTTACACTTGGCCTTTGTTAGGAGTTGTGTCGTAGCGAGTCAAGTTTTTGGCGCCGTTGCCGGGGACTTTCTAGAGTATTAGGAAAGGCAGAAGTTTGTTACTTTAGCGTTTTTCTTTTCTTTTCTTTTCCACCCTTGCTTTTCACTTGGGTGTTTTTGTTTTTGTTGGTGCAGATCTGAATCATGGATCCTCATGGCTTCTCCAACAATTGGGGGTATCCACCACCACCCGAGTGGTATTACCCCGAGACTCCCTGGAGCAATCAAGGAGGAGAAGACTATGGATTCGGGTTCCAGTACCAACCCCCTTACTACGGAGAACAACCGGACCCCTGGGCATATCAAGAACAACCTCATTACCAAGAATAATTTTTCCCACAACCAGGGGGGCCATTGGAGCTGGAATTACCCATGGCGGCCTTCACGGGCCATTCTGCAGAGCCATGCTACACTCCACAGCCAGATCCACACTATGAATTAAGACTTCTCATGGAGCAGTTTGCTCGAGACTGTAATAGAACATGCTCCAGGATGGATCATTGTGTCCAGGCCTATCGTGAAACAGAGGAGATCCTCCTGAGCCTTAAGAAGAGCGTCGATGATCTTGAGCGATCTTGGGCACAACCTGCTCCAGATCACCCTTCTGCTACCATACTAGAAGAAGAGGAGGAAGAAAAAGGCGACAAGGACATTGTGGAGCACACAGAAGTTGTCACGGAGAGCTCCCATGATGGTCATGATCAGGAATGTCCTGTCGTAGCCGACCACACCTTCCCACACCCCAAACTGAGCTTTGAAGAGGCGGGCATGAGTGAGGAGATGCAAGAAGATCTCATGAAAGAAATTGCTTGGCAACTTGCTCTCCAATCCGTGCTAGAAGAAGAAGAGCAAGAAAGGGTGCAGAAAGAAGTTGTGGAGGATGACGAAAGTGAAGCAGGAGGAGTTCTTGATCATTTTCCAGGGGTGATACCACATGAAGAAGGAAGGGAGGTTGAAGAAGAAATTGGCGTCCAGGCTGAGGACGGAGTTAAGGTGGAAGAGGCCTGCACCGGCCATGAGTTACATGTGATATCTCCACCAAACTTCGAGGAACTGCTTAGCAAGGACCCATTTGCAGTGTCTCTTTGCCAGACCAAGGCCACATCGACATCGGTCCCTCTTGGTGGACGCGATGGTGGTCAATCGATGCTGTCATATCAGGTTTGGGGCAATGAGACGAGAGAAGAGAAGAAGAGGTCTCGAGGGTGGAGACTTCATCCGCATCATGTGCACGAGCTTCCATCACCTGTCATACCACATGCTCGTGACTTGAGACTCCACCTCATCGACGAGAACCTCAACTTCAAGGAGGTTTTGGGGTGGACCGAAACTTAGGAGCCATAGTCCGGCTCACGACGTGAAAGAAGTGCTTGTTGGGAGGCAACCCAACCAGTCGGTTTGCATTTCTTTCTCTATTTCTCTTCGGTTGAGTCAGTTTTGTTCTTTGATTTCAGAGTCAATAATTCAACCTTTGTAAGATTTTGTGTGGTGTTTGTGTTCCGACTACTTTGTCCTCCTGGAATGCACCGCCTTCCCCGTTGATATGGTAACTTCGTTCTACCCTCCTTATCTTTCCTCCATTGAGGACAATGTCGTGCTTAAGTGTGGAGGGATGTTCGATTATGTATGTGTGTGAATGTTTGACTGTTTGTGTGCTTGGAGCCTAGTCCACTGTCCAAATTTCGATTTGAGGGCTCCAAGTACGTGTTCCTTGCAATTGCCTGCTCAGTATGCTTTGAATTGACAGTCTTTATAGTAATATACAACCTAAGGAGGTAGTGTAGCACTATGGAGGATGTTGACATATTTAAGAAGTGATCTTAGGACCTCCTGAATTGTGTGGTGTTGTGGACTCTCTACCTGTCATGGACTCTATTTTAATGTTTTGAATTTAACAGGTGCTCGAAAATATGCTTTAAAATAACGTCTCCCGTGCGAATAGGGCGAAAGTGTGTAAGGGGAGACGGGAATTCGTTCCCAATTTTCACCTACTACCTCCAGCCCCCTTACATGTCTTTCCCCCGCGCGAGGCTCGAGTTACCCGCTCCTGGCATGGCCGTAAGAGCCGGGCTCCCGCAAAACCTCTGCTAGGTGGGAGCCCCCATTTTCTGAAAAGCAGGTTGGGACCCTTGAAAAAAAAAAGGAAAAATAACAGAAAACAAGCAAAACAGAAAGAAAAGGGGTTCCAACCGTCGTCAAAAAGAAAATAAGAGCACCTTGAAAAATGTGAGTCCATGATCTTTTTTTTTTAGAGTCTCTTTGTCCACGATTCATTTGTCCTCTGTTCACTATTTGCCATGATGCCGACTCGAGACTAGCGTTCTCGCCGAAGAAGCTATGAGATGACTTGTGCGTCGGTTGACCTCGTAAGCTGCTAAATGATCTAGAAAATTCTCTATCAACGATCGAGGGTGCATGTTGCTATAGAGGTCTGGAGAGCTGCATTGGTTTGAGTTAGGTTTGCTTGGGGACAAGCAAACGGTTAAGTGTGGGGGGATTTGATGACTCGATATTTGCACATGTTTTCCCCTTTGTTTCTTGATTGTTTGAGCTTTAATTATTGCGTCTTTGGCCTATTTTACGCTAGGTTGTGTTCCTTTGTCACATTTCAGGTCCTAGCACATAAAGTGAAGCATAGGCGCAAGTTTCAAGTCAATCAGAGATCAATTGGCGATTAGGGAGAAGAAACTCGGGCATGACCTGAAGAAGAATGAATTTCTACCTCACTTTATGGACAAAGAATCATGCAAGCTTGTCATGAAAAGAGAGAGGACGAGACTACGAGCATCTGGGATCAAACGGTGACTGATTCGGAGTCCGGACGAGGGAGAAACGAAGCATTGAATATAGGGGAACAGGTTCGGCAGTAAAAACACGGGCGCGCCTAAATCAAAACACGGCCGTGCCCATATTTAGGCACGACCATGTTTTGGCCGACGCGCGCGAGCATGTTTTTAACACGGGGCAAAACACGGGCGGTCAAAAGCAAAGCACGGCCGTGCCCTCAACCGTGTTTTGCCCAGAATCAGGTTTTTTAACGCAAATTCGAGCCAAAGGAGAGGGGGAGCTGGGTTTTGGATCTCAAACACCCAAGGGACGAACCAAAGAGAGAGAGGGCGATTTGAGGGCATTCTTGGAGTGGAATTGGAGGATTTCTTTGCCTTTGAAGCTCGAGGAACAAGCCCTGACTTGAAGACTGATCATCTGAAGATTCTTACTGCAGTCTCTCTCTTCTCTATGGAGTAACTTCCCTTCACTTAGGTTTTGAGGAACCCTAGCTATGTTTGTTTGATTGGATGATTGTATGAGTACTCTGACTTGATAATCTTGAGTTCATATTCAATCTATGCATGTTTTCATGATTCAATTCTGCTTTAGTCGAGATTATTGATTCTGCTTTGATCCTATGAGAGGGAATACCTGATTAGGTCAATAGAGCACCATAGATTGATAGTAGTGGATCGATTGCTTTAGTCGAGGGTTGATTCACTGCTTTGTATCGATTGAGAACCTCTTTTGATAGAGGGAGTCTAGTTTAGAACGCCTTGATCAGTTGTTCTAGAGAAGGATACGTCCCTCTAGGCAATTGACGCAAGAGGGCCTTGTTCCTTTAGTTAGTCGAGACTCAAGGTCTAGTCAAGGATTCTCCGCATTGTGAATGAAAGTGAAACAAGTTAGAAATCATCAATCGTTAGTCTGGCTAGTGGCTAGGGGGAATCATACCTAAGTGAGTTCCCAACCTGTAATTAGATTAACTTTAACTGTAGTTTGCTAGAGTAGTTTTAGTTCTTCCTTAGTAATCTGGTTTGCTAAATAATAAACTGAAGCTGAGTAATAGTAACTCTAGAGACCCGTGGATTCGATATTTATCACTTGAGCCACTATACTGCAGTCCCTTTCATTGGTTACACTTGGCCTTTGTTAGGAGTTGTGTCGTAGCGAGTCAATAAGGCATTGTGTTTTTATTACGATGAATTCTTTGCTGGAGAAGGATGAATCTCGAGGAAAGAAAGGTAGAACTGAAGATGGCGTGATCCAGATTGATGGTGATTTGCAGGCAGATTGGAATGACTTAGTTTGGAAAGGCCGTACCAGATTTTCTTACTTACAATTCGACAAGAAGGTATGATAATCTAGCCCACCAATTATCCCCGCTTAGAACAAAATCAATTGTTTTTATCCTTATTTTTCGTCTTCTATTGTAGGGTGAAACAAAGTTTACACTTCCAACACTTCTCAAGTACACTAGAGAGGAAGTGAACCTTGCCCACTACATATTTGCCAAGGATCTTCCACAAAAGGAAGTCATGGTTGAAACCATGATGCAATCCTATACACGAAAGGTGTTGTGGTCCCTCTGCCCTAAGTCTAATGTCGATGATGATGTAATTACAGCCATGGCTTGCCAATTGAGCCTGGAGGAAGTTTGGAGGGATGTTGGAGATGGAAGAGTAGTCTGTTATCTGCCTGCTGAACTACAAGTATAGTCCCATTTACTTTGTATATTTATTTTAGGTACAACATTCTGTTTCTCCTATTAAATGTGTTATCTTCTATTTTAAATGAACCATGATCAGGAAATGGTAATTAACTATGGCATGACATCAAAAAAAAGCTCTAGAGTGTTACGGTGCAAAGTTCTTGGCAAGAGCTCACACGTGCAGAAATGTTTCTTCTTAACAATTCCTTTCTTGTTTCATTGAAATATTCCTCAATTACTGTTTCTAGCTACTGTTTGAATTGTATATGCGAATAAATTAGATGTTCCATCAAGCTTTTGATATTTCTATAAATTGTATTTTACAATGCTCAGCTGAGTTTGGTCTTTTTCGTCGTTATTTAGGTGTGTCTGCCCATGAAAGATGCAATGGACGGTGATGCAGTTCACTGGTATTTAGCTGTCATTATGCTGGACAACAAACAAGTCCATCTATTGGATTCGTATCCTTCTAAAAAGCGCCAAAGATCTCGTAGAAACGCAGTAGTAACCATGGTATGGTTTGACCTCCTTATCCGAATACAGTTATATCTCTAAATTGATTTGTGTATTCATCTATCCTGAATAAAGTGATTACTGCTTATGTAGATCGAATTTCTTGATGACTTGTTTGAGGATCTTTATCGGCAAGTGGAACCAACACTTGATCCACCTGTGCTGGAACAATTTTCTTTGACAATTCCTTCAATTCCCGAACAACGTCACGAGTAAGAATTGTTCGTTGTGAATAAATTAGAAACATACTTAGATACCCACCACTCATATGCTGCATCTAATTTTATGTAGGTCTGATAGTGGCGTTTGGGTGTGCTCATGGATGATGGGTGCATCTTGGGATGCTTCTTATAATATATGGGTAAGCAAGAATTCTCCTACTTGGCCTTGAAGGAAAACAACCTTTCAAAACAGCTACTAAGCCTCATTGTCATTGTCAAACTGTTGCAGCCATGCGGAGATATAAGGAGAATGCAACTAACTTTGTATCTGGTCCAACACCCTACTGTCGCAACCGTCCCGTCCGGGGGGTCCGCATGTCGTCGCGTCGGCATTTTTGGGAGTCGCCATCGATCTTAGTTGGAGTGGATCGAACACTCTTAGGATCGGCTCTAACCTTAGGGTCAGAACCGAGATCTGGTCTGCGAAAATGAAGTTCTGGGTTCGGGAGTACGGTTACGTGTGGGGAAGTTAAGCAACACCCCCACAACGCCCTAAATCGGTACTACTTAAGTCGATAAGTTTTATACGAGTTGGGTGTATTTTAGTAATAATTTGTAATTTTAGGGGTCCCACTGGACCATTTAATGATTTAATCATATTAGTTGTAACTTAATTATACGCCCACTAATGTAAAAATTTAAAGATAAAGTTAGTTGATTAATTGGACTCGAACCTTATTGGTTGCCTACGTACCCGTTAGACGGGATCAAAGTCCACGTAGTTCGTTAGGACTTTGAATATTTTAAGTAAAATTATTACCACATTCCACTGATCGTGGTTCTCGTATCAAAATTTATTGTTAGTAAAATTTAGGTTGGTATTATGAAATTATAAAAAGATAATGTAATAATTTCAATTATTAAGAGGAGTTTTGATGTATTAGAAAAGAAACGAGATATACTTAATCCGCAATTCTACATTTCGTATTAAGGATTTTAAAACAAATAAAATTATACGGGATTATAACATTGACGCATGGGGGCCAGCAGCCCAACTGGCTAAAACGCCAGACCAAATTCGCGTTTGACCGAGGGAACAAGGGTTCGAAACGCGCTAACTACAAAATTTTTTTGTTTATCTCGTTTTAGAGCAGAGAAGGGGGAAGGGCAATTTGGTAAGTGCACAAAAACGCGGTGGCAAGGCCGCGTAATAAGCTGAAAACCCTAGGGTCAATTTGGTCATTTTAAAATTTGAGGTATATAAGCCTCTCCTTAAAGCGAAACCAAACCCTAGTGGCGGCTGCTCTCTATCTCCCCTCGTTCTCTCTCACTCCTCTAACTCTCGCCTCTCTTCTTCACTCTCAGAGAAAAAAAACGAAACCCTAGCCGATCTCACCCTCCGCCTCTCTCTCACTCGTCCTCATCTTCTCCAGAGAAACTAAACCCTAGCCACACTCATACCGCCGCCGCTGCTCTCCCTCTCCCTCTCCCTCTCTCTCTCTCTCTCGACGAACAGAGAAGATGAGGCGCCCTCTCTCCAACACTAGATCGAACGAGCCGCCCTCTCTCTCGTCTCTCCCCTTCTAAAAAACGAAAACCTAGGCGCCGCCCTTCTCTTCTTCTTCCTTCCATACCAGAGAACCAAAATCGAAACCTAAAAACAGCCGCCTCTCTCCTTGTTCGATTCGCCTAAAAGACCGCTCACACTAGACGAAATCGACCGAGGTGGCCTCGATCTAGGTAAGATCGAAACATGCAAGTTTGTTTTTTTTTTTATTTTTGGGTTTTTGAGCGAGATTCTAACCTTTTTCTTGTTTTTCTTTCGGAAATCGATCCAAAACCGAGGAGGGGGCCTCGATTTTCCTTCTAATAATTTCGATCTATCATTTCTAGTTGGAACAGAGGTGACGACGAGGAAGTTTTACCCTCTGGTAAGCCCTTTTCTACATGCATGTCCATTTTCGTTCGATTTAGGTGATTTTATTTGGGATTTTGACTTGTTTGGCTTTCCTTTGTTTTTTTTTTTTGGTCTCGGATCTCTGCCGGGGGAAGGATGGGAAGGGCGGCGGTCGCCGGCGGCGCGGCCTGCACCAGAGCCGACGACGAGGATTTGGTTGTGGGTAGGTTATTTGTTTTATTATTTTCTTTACCATTTCTCGTTTTTTATCTATTATCATTTTTTGGGGTTCTAACTCTCGATTTCCTTGATTTTTGCAGATCTATTCAGTTTGAAAGAAACTAGGTGATACCTCTTCTAAACCTAAAATGGGTGGTTTAGTTATCATTATGATTGTTTATAAAACTCTCTGGTGTTGTGAAAGTAAATTTTGTTAGAACTCCTCCTAGGTTTGTTTAGCCTTAATGTTTGGTTTTGGATATGGTGGAGAATTTGCTTTATTAAAATTTGAAAATCTATAAAGGTCCTAAAGGTAATACGACAATCATAGCTACTGCTTATGACTATCAATTGGTTAAACAATTTGATTAAAAGGCTAATACCGATTAGTAACAAATGGAATTTTTAATGAAAGTGTTTTATTGTATTTAGCATACAAAATGATAATCAAATGAGAACTTCGTGATTATCAAATCTGGTAATTGGCTAAAGAAAAGGGGTACCCTTAAACACAAAATGAGGTATTTTAAAATACTCTCTCAAAGGTCTGATTTGAATTTTTTATGTTTTGAATGGATTGCTTGATTATTGCTATGTTGGAAAAGTAAATGAACTAGCCTGGCTGATAATAGTGCTAGGTTTAGCTAGCAGCTTAACAAGAATTATGCTTGCTAGAAAAACTGAGAGCAACTCAAACTGATTCATTGTATTTAGGTGATGAAAAGTAAATTGTCATATAACGAAAGAAATGAATGGCATAAAGAGGCATACATGTCACGAAGATCAGAATTTCGTAATATCCACTTCGCATACAAATTTAGGCAGCCTAACTATGGATTATGAATTTAGAAGCATCATCATTTACAAACATGCTATATGAATTTTCCTACATGGATGTATGGATGACTACACGCTTGTATGATTGATGGGGTGTAGAAAAAAAAAACCGACCTGTGTTTGCGATTTGGTGGAGTTTTGATGGTGATAGCTTGTTGCTGTTTCTGACTCCCTGCCCTTTTTGGATCCTTAGTGCTTCTGTCTTTTTGGTGCTTAGTGCTCTTTAATGCTCTTTGTCTCCCTTTTTGTGTGTTTTTGTTGTTGGTTCTTCCTCCCTGTCCTCTTGTTTGGGGTAAGAAAACCCCCTTATATATGATCACTTTTTACTGTTCATTATTGTGTGCTGGCTGCTCCTCCTTTGCTCTTGAGGTGGTTGTCTGAACCAACTTTTGTGTTGGCAATTTGGTGTTGGTTCTTTGGAGGAGGTGGCCGAATTCCTCTTTTTGAGATGGCAGTAATTTCTGCTACCCTACTACTCTACTACTCTGCTGTTCGACGGTTCTGCTGTTCTTGTAGATAAGATAAGGATGATGGGTTTGGTTGACCGGGTCGGCCAGAGCTAACCTGGTCGACCCGAGTTGACCCGGGTTGACCAGAGTTAATTGGGCTGAGATATGGACCTGGATTGTGGGTTTTTGTTTTTGGGATGCCCTTCTAACACTTCTTTTTTTCTTTGCAGGTCTCTGGTCTGGCCCAAAATGATGACCTAAGGAGGCCCAAATAGCCTCAAAAGGCTAGGCCTCTAATTCTGATTGGTGCCACCAAAAGCAGAATTTTTTATTTATTTTTTTTTTATATAATTACAAGGTGTATCTTAAATGTCACAGATTGTAATTTGTAATTACACATTTGTTTATTTATGTCCTTGCCTTTAAAATTAGATGATCATTGTATGTATTACTCAATCATTCCATTGATTCTTTCAAACCAATTCGTTAACTACAATCGTGACCAATATCCCAACTTCTAAGTAAATAATTCTTAGTTATGAATCGTGACCAATACCCCATTCAACCAATTTCAGACCTATATCACCAATCGTTAACAATAATACCGGTATAAGTCGTGACGGCATACTATTGCTATTCTAAATAAAGCGAATTTGGTAGCCATTAGCTACTGCTAATCCTACCTAGTTGGGGCGCTCCTCAGCTCCCGTGAGGTATCGATTTAGTAGGGGTGCTTCTCAGCTCTCGTGAGGTATTAAATAGTAGGGGCGCTCCTCAGCTCCCGTGAGGTATTAAATGGTAGGGGTGTTGCTCAGCTCCCGTGAGGTATTAAATAGTAGGGGCGCTCCTCAGCTCCCGTGAGGTATTAGTTTGATAGGGATACTCCTCAGCTCCCGTGAGGTATTGATTTGGTAGGGGTGCTCCTCAGCTCCCGTGAGGTATTGATTTGGTAGGGGTGCTCCTCAGCTCCCGTGAGGTATTAGGATTTTGGTTTCCTTTTGTGGTATAGCGATATAGAGTACTGGTTTATTCACATTGTGACATATAATAGCTTTGATAGTCAACTAGCTGGTTTGGTACAAATATCGATAACGAGTAGTCACACGGCCTAAAGGACTTCGTAAGTATCCGATAGGCTTAACATTGA